ATTCTGCATTCGAATGAACAATAGGCAAACCAGCAGAGAAAGTATTGTTTATACGCATAAGTATCTTTTGGTCATAATAGTTTCTGTCGACATTCGAATAACACTTTGAACCTAAGTTTGAAACAATATATAAGATTGGTTGTGCTTAATGTCAATGGAATAGACATTCCTTGTATGACACCTTTTCCTGTTATAGGAAACTGTTGGTAGTAAAAACCAGAAATAAGTTTTGTATTATAGCTATATCATTAATAGTAAACTCAGTCGGACATCCAAACATAATGAAACCTGCTCTAGTTGCAGCACATGTTACACCCGTACTTAAAGTATTAAATAAGTCAACAAAACCTGTTGGTGGTATATCTGAGTAAGTATCTTTCAAAGGAGTATTTTTACCATTCACAACAATAAAGTCTTCTGGTGTCAAAGAGCAAAACAGGCTTTAGTCGTCATTGTGTTTAAGGTTAGTTTACAATATCGTCCTTGAGGACTTTGTAAGTTTGTTGTTATAGAATTATATGACTCAGGGTTTTTTAGTCGTAATAGTATAAACCATTATATCTTCTGCCATTTACTTAGCAAATAAATTTTAATGAAATGTTGTGGTCGTCAAATATTTTTATGACGTCTGGGAAACTATACTTTAAGTTCAACGTTTCACCTCCTTTCATAACGTATATTCTTGTCAATGACATTATATGAAACACCACAGCAACTAATGTCGGGTTCTATTTCTTTGATGTTTATATCGTCTGCCTCTGTCAAAAGTTTCAATAGTTCTTTCAAAACTTCATGAGGTGCAATGACATATGAGTTCACTTTTACAGGGTTGTGTTCGACCAAGTTTAACATTATACTTAAAGCCTGACAAATCTTCTCCTGAGTTTGAAGTTTGTCTTTCAGTTGTTGGTAGTCGTTTCGAATATCTGCAACAGAACTTAAGTCTCTGCTAACTTCAGGATATGTTGGTTGTTCTTTTACAGGAACAATTGTTATACCATCTTCGTCTTCGTATGGTTTCCCCACTTCAACATCTCTGTCTTTGACATTGACAACAACACTTTGACTGTTTGTTTGAGTTGGTGAATTTAACTTCACATCTGCCACCGCCATTAAACCTTTGAAACACTCACGCTTCTATTTTTCGGAAATGACATTTTACTTAGAATAAAAAGATGGACGTATTCGAGTATCTCTTCGAATTGAAGCAGAACAAAGTTTACACACACAAACAATACAAATACATTGACAGAATAGTTCTTTATACAAACAATGGTAAATGTTATAGAATAGCAATATTTGCTGAACCTAAATATTTCATAAAGCAAAGAAAGTTGGTATAACTGAAATGGTGAAAGTTCTTGACGTTGACAAAAATATAACAACAAAACTTACAGATATTTCTAAAGGTAAGTTTATCTTACAATATTATGTCAAAACTGGCGTACTGTCAATATTTGACGGAGAGAAGTCAGTTCAAGAACAACTTACTGACCTGCTGCCAAAATCTGCTCGATGGAAGCTGTCGTTATGCCAATCTGAGGAGCCCCAGCAGGTTTCATCGAACGAATCTTCAAAAGAGCATCTTCCGTGAAAAGTGCTATTGGTTTTGTAAACTTCTTTGCTCTCAGTTCATCTGGACCGTCTCTGTCACCAGTATATTGTATTTGTACAGTACCAACAGTTGAAATACCACCCATAAAGTCTTCTGAGTCAGCAAATGGAATGCCAAGCCAAAAGTTTGAACGGTCTCCATTTGTATATTGAGTTTTTTGACCTCCTGTATGAGTCCATACTTTCACATATGGCATAATAGAACTTTGCATTTCAGGGTTAATGGTTGTTGTGAAGTTGTTGTTAAAGTTCATAGCATCTAATGTCAAGTTGTATGACCTCATATCCTCAACTGTAGAATATTCTTCTCTTGGATAATATTTGCCATCTATGTTTATATGATATTTAATACCGGGGTTGTAGAAACAAGAATAGTCATTTATAGTTCGTCTGAACAGTACAAACATAGTATCTGCATGTTTCATTGCAGTTGTTAAAGCAATATCTGTTCTTGCACCTGGGTCAGCACTTTGGTTTCCAACTTCACCTGCAAAGTCTTTGACAGATATTTGGTGTATAGGGAACATAAGTGGAACTGCAATATATTTGGCAGCTAAAGCATTTGAAATATCTGGGTCCAACATATAGACTGCAAGTCTGCTTTCTATTCTCTTGCATTCAAACTTTTCGCATGTGAACTTAACTGGGTCCCAAGCAGTTCCAGCAGCATTGAAATAATAGTTTACTTCATTGTTGAAGTTTGAGAAACCAAAGTCTAAGTCAACTTTGTCTTTGCAAAATTCGGCGAATGACGTTTGATTTGTTCCCTTTACGTCTGTAATAGTGAATGGGTCTTGTGTTGGTGCAATGACTAAGTTATTTTTGCTTGGAGTAAGTTCGATAGAAATTTTTCCTGCCCAGTTTGGCAAGTATCTTAAAAACCTGAAGATGAGGAAAGATGACAAAGGAACTCTAAGTTTCAGTTTTACTTTGGTTACTGCTGCTGCAGTTTGTCCAGAAAGGTAACATAAACTCCTGGAACGTTAGGGTCAAGTCTTCTTATTTTCTCAATATTTGCATACTGGTCTGTTTGTTCTCTAGCTTGTGGTTGTACTGAGTTTCTCAAAGCGAACCATTCATAGTTTGCCCATGTTACTGTTTGAACTAAGTCAGAGTTAGAATATATCTTATATCCCATGAAAACTTCTGGAGCATATTGGTATCCGACATAGAAAATTCCATTGCAACCTTTCTTGTCAGACAACTTGGCAGAAGGTTTTATTTCAATGTCTTGTTCCACGTATAAGAATGAGTTGTCAATAGAAATAATATGAAACCTGTCGCAAGCAATATCTACTGTTGTTGAAGAACCTTCTCCAAACTCACCTACGTTTCCATAAGAAACAGCAGTTGTATATTCGTAAGTTCCAGGAACTATTTCTGACCTTCTAATGGCATTGTCGCATTCGTTATACCATTCGGAAACATTTCCGTTCATGGCATCCAAAACTGTTGGCGTTATATTCTGAGCGGCGTACATTTCATATGGGTAAAAATATAGAATAGTTGGATTTATGTGTCATAATAGAACCCACTCGGACCAAGCTTTACTTTCTTCCTGACTGAGTTTTTAACTCTTCTTTTTCCTTCATTGCCACTACTTTCACTAGATGAAGTTACTTCTTCACTACTTTCACTTTGTTCTACTCTTCTCTTCTTCTTTGGTGTCGCTTTTGGTAACTTGCCCTCTGCTTCAAGTTGTTGCATCTTTGCCTCATGTTCACCTAGTATGTTGTAAATTTCCCATGTCCTTTTTGCCTTTGGGCTCTGGTCGCCCATCTCAGGTAACCTATATCCTAGAAAGATTTTGTCATAGTTTGTATTTGAGTCTTCGCGTATTGTTTGCATGACTCTTTCCTGAGTTTCCGGTTCAAGCTCTTCAAACAGAGCTTGTCCATATGGAATAAGCTCGTTTCCAAATATATGTTTTTGTAGCCATTCTGGTTTTCTTTCCATGTTACCAATAATATCTTTTGTGAATGGGAAAGCTTTTACCCAATGTTTCAGTCTTGCGTCATTTATTTCTGTAGTTGGTTTTATTTTGTCAAGGAACATGTTTTTCAATACTAACATTTCATTTGGTACTGTCCATTTGAGTTTTCTTAAATATTCATCCCTTCTCAGTTCATTGTCTGCAAAGTAAGTTTTTATGACATTTTGTAAACTTTCGTTTGCAAGGTCATGTACAATAGGTTCTCTTCCTTCTATCTCCCTAACTTTCTTTCTAAACTCTTCACCAAATATACCATCTCTATGGTTCTGTGTAGTTCTTTGAGATAAATGTTCTAGAACGTCAGGTGTTATATTTCCATCAGCCATGTTCATTTCATACTGGTCCAAAATATCTGCATGTTTCATATCTTTCAATGGCATTAAAGCCGCGCTGAAAATACCAGCTATATCTGGTTCACCATTCACTTCCATTGCGTCTACAACTTCTTGGAATTGTGGTTGTAAGTTTATGAACCACCTATCCGGATTAGCTTTATGACCCCATCTCATTGTAGTTCCATAGTCTGCAGAAACAAAAGTAGGTTTGTTTCCATATTGGTTAGGTTCTGAATGAACTTTAAACAATGTTTCATTTCTATATGTTTTGGTGAAATTTAACCTTTTATTTTCACCGAGTTCAGCCAAAGATTGAACGTTATATGGTCGTAAGTAAAAAGGATTGTTGTATTTGCGTACACTTTCTTTCAGTTCTTCCATTCTATGCTGAATATTTTCATCTGATGTTGGAGTCTTTTGTATGTCGGCGAACATTTTTCGATATTCTTCTACTATGTCAGCTGAATTTTTCTTAGACTCTTGGAAAGATTCCATATTCTCCGCATACTCTTGTTGAGGGTCAAGATTTTTCGGCTGTTCCAAATCTTCATCTAGTTCTGTGAAGTTAGTTTCCAAAGGAGGGACTTGTTCGTTTCCTTCAGGCTCTTCTAGCTGTTGTTGCTGAACTATTTCTTCCATGTCTGGTTGTATCTGAACTTCTTCCTGTGGAGTTTCTTGTACCTCATCTGCTGGCATTTCATATATTCCGAGACCGTTTTTAACAAGTTCCCTATCTAAGTCATCCGCTCATAAACCTTTCTTCTTTCGTTCCGTCTCTATTTTTTACGCGTTTCATGAAGAGAGTTGAATTATCATTTAGCTCTGACACCAAATATCTCGGAGTAAATTCATCATGTCATTTGGATGATATGCTATTAAATCATATCCCTTAGCGAGCTTGTATTTTCCAGGTTTGAAATTATATCCCATTTGGTGCTGAACCATAAAGCTAAATAGGTTCGGGTCAGTATTTCCTTCCTTGAACTTTCTAATAGCTTCTTTATATCTGTCACTAAAGTCAAGAGTATCTGGGTAACCATAATTTTCCTTAAGCATTTTTAAGAATTCTTGGTTTCCTTGTTCTCTACTTCTTTTATGTCCTTGCTCTGTTTGTGGTTGTTGCTGTGCAGTGTTTTGAACTGTTGGTTGTGGTGCAGTGTTTTGAACTGTTGGTTGTGGTGCAGTGTTTTGAACTGTTGGTTGTGGTGCAGTGTTTTGAACTGTTGGTTGTTGTGTTGGTTTTGGTGCATGCCTGTGTCTGTGTCCATGTGACGATGTAAATGTTTTAGGTAGTCCTGGTGCAGGTGCTTCTCTTGGAGGGTTTGGTGGTATATAAGTTCCACCAGCTGGCACATATGTTCCATCTGCAGCATAATGTCCTACCTGACTTTTCGTTTTTAAGAAAGCATTTACTAGGTCTGTTTTGGTCTGTTGTAACTCTTTTTCTTGACTTTCCACAACAGTTGCTCTAACGGCGTCATAGGCACTTTGAACTGCCTGTCTCGTTGCTGCATCTGTTATTTTCGTCATATTTTGTGCTACTTCTCTTAACTCTTTGTCGAAACCTTCAGACTTCAGTTTCTTTCCAGATGAGAAGTCGTTCACTAGTTTCACCTTACTATGAAGAGCTTCGAAGGCGTTCTTAAAGTCAGCATTCATTAAAGCTTCATTTGAACTGTCTTCATCCGCTTGTATTTTTGTCCTTATTGACCCTATAAGTTGGGCTGCTTTGGCGTTGGCTTGGGCATCTAACCAGTCATTATTAGCTTTTATATATTCTGCGCTTTTCATTGCCTTTTGCATGGCTGCGTCGTTATTTTTACTTTCTTGTGCTAAGTTTTCATACTGTACGGTTTGGTTTTGCAACTGTAAAAGTTTTTCTGCCTTTACATTTGCTTCAACTTCTTTTTTATACTCATCGCTATCCATATATGTCTTCAGGGCTTTTTGTTTTATTTCTTCATCTTTCAGTACTTTATATTGAGTAGTATGGTTTTTCAAATTTATAACATCTTGTTCCATTTTTGCTACTTCTGCTGCTTTTTCTGACACTTTTTTCGCATATTCCTCTGTACTTAGTTCTTTCAGTTGTTCTTCTTTCTTCTTTTTCTCTACGTTTAACTCATTGAGTTTCTTTGTGTGTCTGTCATATTCTAGTTTCTTTTCGTTTTCACTTATTTGTTTCTGTATGTCTATGTTTGACTTTTTGACATCTGTTATTTGATTTTTGAGTGAACTCAAATTCATTTGACTTTGAGGGTTATAAGCTGTTCCGTCTGCAGCTCCACCATAGCCTGCCATTTTCGCTAAAAGTGCCGCTCTTAAACCTCCACTCTGTGCACCAATAACTCGGTTTAAAAGCATAGGGTTGCTTGACATTTGTTGCAACATAGTGGGGTCATTCATCATTTGTTGTTGCAACTGTTGTTGTGGTGTCAGTTTTACTATTGGATGTTTCAATGCTCCCTTCCTCTTACGTATATTCTTACGTAGCTTACGTGGCATTTTAAGTGAAGTTAAAAACGGTTTTTGACAGATGTTTATATGACACTTTTTGTTCAGCACAAAAAACTACTCGGTCAAAGTGTTGTCAGTTTTGTAAAATAACCGTCCTATCTCATTCTATAAGGGGAAAAGGCTTCTCAAAGTATACTTCCTTGGAACGCCTGTAACTTTTCCTGTAGCGACGATAGACCCTTACTTGTCCGGACAAAGTTATACTATTTTGAGTGCTCTACAAAAAAGTCAACGGCGACGACTCTCAAAAACCGTTGTGTAAAAAGTTTTACCGTTGGACAAAAAAGTATATATAGAAAACAAAAAACGTTTATAGTTCATTCAATATTTGAGATGGAACGGTTTGCCAACGGTAACTATTAAATAAAATAAAAAAATAGAGGGGGTCTCCGTTGGTAAAAACCGTTTATTTTAAACTTTTCTATGAGTAGTCCGAAAAAAACAGTTTATTTTTCATAATGGAAGGAAGAAAAAGTGTCGCAAACAATTCGTCGACTACCTCTGCAGTTAAAGTTCCTACAACTTATGTCTCACCATTCTCAAAACCCTTACGACCTCCTATAATACCAAAGCAACTTCCTCATACAATTCAAGACAATTTGTCCAACAATTTGAGTTCTTCTTCTCAAAACACAACAGATACAGTTGTCCAAACAGCACCAGAACAAGTTTCACATAGTTCTACAATTCAAGACAAATTGTCCAACAATTTGAGTTCTTCTTCTTCTCAAAACACAACAGAAACATCTGAAACAGATTTACAACCAGCACCAGAACAAGTTTCACATAGTTCTACAAGTATGTTAACAAGAGCACAATTTCAAGATTTAATTTCTCTTGAACAATATTCGAGTAACGAAACACAAACCGACGACTGTAACCTCTCGCTACCCGATTCCATTCAAAGAAAATACGCCATGAAAAGACTGAAATTGTTGTATAAACTTCTTAACAATTGGGGGGTCGAAGACAACACAGATTATAGTGAAATGTTTAACAAAGTCATAGAATCTCTTAAACCAATTGAAAACGACATAAAAAATCCCGGTGTTCTTGTAGACCTTTTCGCCTCAAAATTACCAGTTACAACTAATCTAATAGCAACACAAGCTATAGAGCAATTTATTTTATGTTTTCCCAAGCAATATAGACAACACCTGAGGGAAACAAGAATAGGAAAATTTCAATTGGTGTATCCTACAACATACAACTATTACGAAGAAGCAAATGAATATGGAGAACTCTCGTTCCATTTCACACTTTCAGTTCCTGAGGGAGAAGAAAAAGCAATCTATCATGTACAATCTCTTGCAGGATGTGAAGGAAAACCTCACATAATAACTACTGTTGCAATTGACAAACCTGCAAGAGTCGAAGACGATGTTTTGTTCGCGTCCATTGCTGGTTTTGGCATGGGAGAACCAATTCCAATTTCCCATTTCACAGAATACTCAGCACAACATTTTCAAAATGTAGAATTCGTGTTCTACGACCATCAAAAGTTCCTGCTAACAAAACCAAAGAAACAATTTGTCTCAATATTTGTTGCTGGTCATGTGGCTGACAAAGAGCCATCAGATACTGACTATGAAGAAGAGGAGGAGGAAGAAGAAAACGATAGCGATGTCGTTCTTATCGAATAAAAACTTTAATTTCTTACTATATAATTTTTTAGTTCTCCTCTAGGTTTTTTAGGGGCTAGAAGGGGCGCAGCCCCTGGAAGCCCCACTACCTATTTTTTTTTAAATTAATGATTTCTTCAAGTAAAATTCTGCATTATTTCAAAAGTCAATAATTCTCTAGTAACTTTTCTTCAAACCCTAACCATTATATTATATGTATAATGGAGAATAATTGCAAAGAAAGATAGCCGAATTTACTGGGTAGTTCTTGTGATGCGAAATAATTGCAAATTAACACCTAGTTTTAACAGCATCAATCTCTTTTTGCTCTCATTTAAATGCATTCGCACACTTTAATTTTGAAATATAAGAGTTTTGGAAATTATCAAATTTATCTGCTCAAATACTATAGATCTTCATAAGTGTTAATAGAATCATTAGCCTTACATATAGTGTTTAATATAATGATGCACATTATACTGGGATTCATTCCTTATTCATCTAGTTATTATAAGATTTACAACCCCATGAAAATTTAAAATTTTGTCAAAAATAGTGAATGTACCTTTCTCTTTCCACTCAATATTATTACTTTGATAAAATTATTTGTTCAAAAAATGCAATATTTGGCGAAATGGGAATTTCTCGCATATGTTCGTACATGAGCAAATACTATACCTTTTGCGAATAAAGAATTTTTTCATAAAAAATTTTTTAGGAATTAGCATATCGGCGTTTTGCGACATTGCCAAACGCCAGATTTTAACCCGACATATGAGCATAAGCTCGTATATTGGAATAAACTCGACTTATTCCATATTAAAGTTATTATAATAATAAGGCACTTAATGTGCAAATCTAATTGAATTAGAAAATGCACATTAAGTGCCTTTTATTGGAATATGTAATACCACATATGGAATACCGAAATCCGAGCATCAATTAGGAATGAACTAGTGCAAATTTTAGAAATACAGTATTATGTTAAATTCAGGATAAAAATTGTTAGAAATTTATATTTACAAATGAGTAAATAAGTATTTTGTAAAGTTTTCGTTTGATTTTCAAGCTTGTTGGAGAAAAATAATGAAAATAATTATTTATTTAAGCAATTTACACTAAAACTTTTTATGGAAATTGCAGTTCTAGCAATGTCTTAGAATTTAATTGTCATTTAAAGTGTGAAATGCATTGATTTGCTAGTGAATGTAAATCGGGAATACAAAATTAATATAAATGAACGAAAATTCTTCTAAGAACATCCTAAAATCAATCACCCTTTGAGTGGCTTTCATAATATATCTAGATGATAAACCAGAAATTGAACCCGCATATGGGTCCCATTAGGATAAATTGTAAACTATTCAAAAATAGTTTACAAAATTAATTTAGGTAATAATAAAATTTTTAATTGAGATAAAGTAATAAAAAATCTTAGGAGAATGTTATGGATTTTCTTCATTGAGCCATTCGATAAATGAGCATCTTTGCGAGCCATTTGTGTTCGAGAGTCTTGTACCATAAAGGTGGCATCTCAGCAGTTGAGCATCCCTTCAATGCATTGATATCTGTTGATGGAACAGAGTATGCGACTTCATCATTGATCATGATCCAATATGCACTTTTTTGCAAAAAGACCACGTAATGAAAATTGCAATAGGCAACAATTGCAATCAATTGATATCTTTGCCTTTCGACTGTTGGGAGTGTCAACTTTTTCGGGAAGTCAAAGATGACTTGATGAATCGAATCATTCTGCCACTCTCTCTGAATGTCGAAAGTCAAGAATTGTGGCCATGATGTGTTCCTTGTAGTTGACAAATGATATTGAATGGCATGATCGAGATCTGGTTCTCCAATTCTGGTGTGAATCGAGTAGCAATTTGTTTGTTCGTTGGCACTATCACGGTAAGTGATTCGGAAGAGTTGACCGATTCCTGGTATTTGCTCTGCGAGATCTGTGATCAATCTTGTCATCGTGTCATCACAATCTTGTGCCTCATATGTTAATTAATATACTACTCAAGGGTACGGAGGCACTGCGCGCCTTCTTACCCATTATATGTGAATTTGACACTTTACCAAACCGTTAACGTATATTTTACAACACAAACGACAACACTAACTTAACCTTAAATATTTACAAAGCCGCCAACCACTTCACCTCACTAATGTAAAAAATAAACATTCTCACTTACAAAAGTATTGCAACTCCTCCCATTGCTGTGCTTCACATAACAGCTCATAATCTTCTGACTCACTTTCTTCTTCATATAGGTCAAAATCACTGTCAAAATAAATGTATGTAAGTTTTGACAAAGCTAATGAAACACGCTTACCGTTTGTATCTATTGCTTGTATAAACTTTCCATTATGCTTGTTGCCATAAACGCTCAAACTAACTTTACCCTTTCTCCCTCGTATCTGATAGAATGTATTTTCACGAGGAACGAAGAACAAGTTCTTGAACTCATGATCGTTGTAGTTTGTTATCTCAATAGTTTTCGTCATTTATATAAAAATAAACTTAAAAATAAATGATATCACCACCCTCACACGTATGAAAACATAGCACAAAAATAAATTTAGGGTAGATGGTTAGATCTAACCCGATTTCTAACCTCATTTCTATCCTGTTGAATTCATTGCTTTATAACTCTCTTCCTTGGTTTCTTTTTAGTTGCTTTCTTAACATCTGTCTCCAACTTGACTGTCTTTCTTCTTCGTCCGTAATGATACCAATTACTTCCACCAGTCAATGGGTCAAATGGTCGTTCATAAGGGTTTCCATACATTCCATAAGGTCCGTATGGATAAACCGCTGGTGGAAGTTGTGGAGAAGAAACATTTTCTTTAGTTCCATCGACTCTATTTAAATGCATTGTTTCACCTTTCATCTGGTCATTAAAGTCTTTTGCGTGTTTTGCAAACTCATCGTCCTTTCCTAAAGCATTTTCTGACTCAGTCGCAACTAAATTGGATGCTTTATTTATGAGCCCTATTTTATTTAATCTTAACTTCTTTGCAACCCAGCCTCCTATCTTTCCTTTATTTGCGTCTAATGTCTTCGAAACCCTTCCTCCACTCATTTTATTTACTGCGTCATAAGCTCCAAGTGCTTTTGCTCCAAATGCTAATGCTTTTGTTCCCATTGCGCCTAAAGCTGCCCAAGCTACCATTTACACCATATTAAAATCATCTCTCTTCAATATTATCTCATAAAAGTTCTCGTTACTGGAGAAAGTCAATGAAACATAAACGTTCTCACGGGCTTCGCCCTCACCGCTTTGCGGTCTATCTAACTTATTTCTTATATCATCTATACGCTTCAAAATGTCTGAACAATTGCTAACATCTTCTACAACA